TTTTGTTGTGTGCAGAATCCTTGAATTATAGTTCATCGATGTGTTATTATGAAATCAGTGATATGTTTATCTCATTTGATCTGCAATGTCATTGTTGGGAGTAAAATACAAACGCTTTAGACGCATTAATTAATGAATTTCTACTGCTTGTGGGTATTTTCTTAGCGTGAGGAAGGTTTTTGAATTTCGCTTGTTCCGACAGGAGTTGTGAATATTAACTGCTTAGCAACATTATGGATATAAGTTCATCACATTATCTTAGGAAAGTTGGGTTGTAGTTGGTGAGGCACATATGGTGCCCGACGAGCGTACATCTGTCCATGTGATGTTGTGGTGAGTTATGCCTTTTTCATGTTGTCGGTTTATGTCCATTTTATTCCACTTATCGTGTTGGGTAGAAGTTTTACAAACGAAATATTTTTGTCTGTTTGAGGGTAAGTATCTTAATCGTTAATGTTTTATCTAAAATTATAAATATAGGCAAAAAACAACAGGTGTAGTATTTAAGCTCATACATTAGATGGACCTATAATTTCGGAGGCTCTCAGATAGGAACTAGAGCTACTATCGTTTGCAAACTCCTGTAGTTTGCCGTTAAGCGCTTTTTCGAAGGAGGCCAATGTACCTGCTTGACGCATTTCCATTGGTAGTTTATTCCATATCTGTGCATACCTAATTAAGTAAAACTTTTGCCTGGTGGCTGTTTCACATTGTTCAATAGCTGCTGTACCCTTAGTGTGTCTTAGTTTGTAGCCACTGTCATCTGAAAGTCGAATGCCATTAGTGGAGGTAAAAACTAAGTGGTTCAGAAGCTTATGGTAAAGTGTTAAGTTTAGTCTCAGGCGTCTTAGCCATAGTGTCTCTAGTCCTAGGGCATCACATCCAGTGGAGTAGTTTGCACCATTTTCTGTTACAAGTAATTACGACGTGAAGTACCTCTGCACTCCCTCGACTTTCAATTTGTCCTCTATGTGTATACTACTATACATGAATGAACAGTAATCAAATAAAGGACGCACACAAACCTTGTACAACAGAATTCTGGACTCATTTCTGTAGATGTTCCTGAGTGGAAAGCCGATAAGTCTGAGTGACTTTGACACTTGTTTGGAGATATTTTCAGAAAATGATAAGTCATGTGAGTATTTCAGTCCTAGGTCCAATACACATTCCAGTCGTAAGGGTGCATGGCTTTGAATTGTCACGTCAAGTTCTTAATTGTTGCAGCCTATGCAGAGCCAGCCACATTTGTCGACATTAAACTGGAGTTGCCAGGTGTCACACCATCTATCCATTTTTTCTAATTCTTGCTGTATGGCGTTTACTGTTATTCCGAGATCTGAGTTCTTGCATTTATAGGTCACTTTTAAGTCATCTGCATATAGTATTGGTTTACCAACACTAAAGCATTCACACATACTGTTTATATATATTATGAATGGGAGTGGGCCTAATACACTTCCCTCGATTACACCACTACTTACTGGTTTAGGCCTTGAGATTAATAATAATAATAATTTTTATTTCTGTAACAGAAACCAGCCATTTTTACAGGCATGAACATATGTACATTTATGAAAACTTATAGAATATATAATATGATTTGTTAATTTAGAAATAAGTTGAATACTGGTAAATATGAGAGAAACATTTAAAATGAAGTGTACAAATAAGGAAATAGATATAGCGTCAAATCTAAACTGTGATTGAAAAAAAAATACATGTCAATTTCACGCGGGAACCATAAATGGTTGCGTTAGTTGAGGAAGGTAAGTGGCATTTCTGTACAGGTGCTGACGTATTACATAAGAGATGCAGAATAAACAATAACTATCAGTAAATCATTCAGAAAGAGTTTTAAAGTCTATTAAACTTTAAATTCACCCGTAAGTACATCATATTTGTGACATTTCCAGTTGTTTATGAGACCCACTTTGAACTTGTCAGCAGATTTTATAATACCGATGATCCCGTTATTCACCAGATGAGCTAGCAATATCACGAATAAGTAGAGAAAGCAGTATGTTTGAAAAGAGAAAAAGACACAAGAAAACCAGCAGACAGGTGCAGATCTGCACCTTCAGTATTAAAAAGGTGTTAATAATTCAAAATATATAACAGGCATGGGGTTCATCATTTTTTATTGTTGTTTTTTTTCAGGAAATATTATTTTCCCGATATTTTACAGTCTTTTCTGCGAACAATTAGTTTAAAGTGAAAGACAGGTGATAATCTCACCTACTTACGAGGTTTAAAATGAGTAAAACACAAAAGTCAGAGTGCGTGAGCTATGTAAAAGAAAAGCGAGGGCCTAGTAATATGTTTTTCTGAAGTATACAGTTCGGTGTCCTTCTGAAGTAGCGGACTCATACCATTTACTTTCATTCGGGAGTTTGCGTCTAAACTTCGGCGCTAGGCAATTTTCAACTAATATTTCCTTTTTCATTATTTTTTTATTTTTAGTTTTTTTTTAGTTTTTGTTTATTCTCATTTTGAAGAAGCCATCCGAACTCAGGAGCCATAGCAATAGAGTGCTGTCCCACAGATAAGGGTGGTTCACATATGTCCCCACCATCATATCCGCTGACTAACAGTCACCACCCTCCCACCTTAAGAGCATAATTTTCAGAAAACCAGGGTTGTTTGGAGGATGATTAGTAAATTTTCTTCTGACTATCCCTAACCGAGCCAACTTTCGTTATCTGACTTTGGCCACAGAGGAATGATTTTATCCAGCTCAGGAGAGGGTCACATATCCCTAATAATAATAATATTAATAGCATATTCTCATTTTGTACATGAGGGACGCCAGTTTACTGTCATCATCAATATGATAAATTACATATACGATTAGCAATCATACTTAATAATAATGTTTTAATAAAATACACATTTTTTCCTACCTGTGTAGGACACACCAAATGTACAGGCATGGATAAGCATTATTTAAATTTCATAGATTCGGATCATGGTTAAATTGCATGGTTTGTGACGTTTTTGTCTTTGGTTTGTGGGAACAATATGATAACCAGTCATTCAATGGAGCACATCATAAAATATAGGAATATAGACTTTGCATTAACAAAAAAAACCAAGTAAGTTTTGGGTGGATTAAAAATACTTGAAATAAATAAAGCTTGAAATTATTCCCCAATATAACTAGTCATTCAATGGAGCACACCAAGGAATATAGAAATATTGTCTTCGCATTGACAAAAAACCCAAGTAAGTTTTGGATGGATTAAAAATACTTGGGAAAAAATAAAGCTTGAAGTAATTCCTCAAAATAACTTGGGTGTGTACAAGTCCGAATCTCATTTTTGATTTATATCTAAATTGGGTAATAAGGAAGCTATTTTTACAGATACGATCAGTTATGTTATAAGCTACAATCGTGACGTTGTATTGCAAATTGATACCTTTCCATTGGTATAAGAGTATATTCCACAAATGTAATCCAGGTTGCGTCTTGCGGAAAGTTAATTCGTTATTAACTAGGCAACTGAAAGATACGGGACCAATAATGTTTGCAGATCATTTGTCATTGTAAATGGTCAAACATACACATTATTCATTCTCATTCAAAAAGTCAAATGGAAGCTGAAATGGTGAGAGAAAAAAGAAGACAAACAACAGCAACGCAAAAGAAAGCAAGAGGAGTCCTTAAGGAGTGATTAATAAATATATACTTATATATTCTGTTAACTAACTATTGTTATTTTTGTTCATTAACTAACTAGTCCCGTTATGCTAACTTTTAAATTGTGTGAGCTAATATTACTGTCCTGTGTAGAAATGTTTATCATCTAGTTCCAATAATATTAAAATTTATAATTGTAGTTTGCTGTAACTACACGTTTAAAGAACTTAAAATATCTATGTATGGTGAAAAAGAAGGTGTAAGAGTCAGACGTATAAGTGCATTGTCATCTTTGAGCAGTCTGGTGACTGAGGAGATGAACACTGGAAGTGTGTTTGCATCACGCACATTAGCTGGTAGTCTATTCCAAATGACTGAAAACTTATTTAAGAAGAAGTTGTACCGCACGTAAGTCTGACAGTGCTCCATAGCAGCTAGGTTGTGATGATTTCTAAGATTGTAACTGATGACAGTGGTAGGTTTAGTTATTGGCTCGGAGGAATGCAAGAGAAGATTAGTTAGCTTGTAGTAAGAGATAAGGTTTAGCTTAAGACGTCTTTTCCAGAGGGGTTCTAATCTTAGTCTTTCGCATCGCTCATGGTATTCCAGACCACTTTCTAAACCAAGAGTTCTTGAGGTAAACTGCCGTTGCACTCCCTCTAATTTAAGCTTGTCATTTTGTCTGAGTCCGCTAAGAATAAACGGGCAGTATTCTAAGATAGGTCGGACACATACTTTGTATAATAAAACCCTAGTTTCACAACAAAAGAAATTGCGTGTTATGCATCCTATCAGCCTTCGTGTTTTACGTCTGGCATGATCAGTCTGTTCAGCGAACGTTAGGTTACTAGAGTATCTAATACCGAGATCTACGACTGAGTTGAGCTTAGCTAGTTTTCGCCCATTTATTTCAAGAGTTAGATCAAGGTTACTGTTGCCGATACAAATCCAGCCGCATTTGTCAATGTTAAAATTTAGACAGGATTCAGCACACCACGTTGCAAGGCTACTTAGTTCAAGATGTATTTTAGTTACCATATCGCTTAATTCATGAGTGTAGCAGGAGTAGACGACTTTGAGGTCGTCAGCATATAGGAATGGTTTGCCTAAGGTGAAGCACTTGCAAATGCTGTTAATGTAGACTGTGAATAAAAGTGGACCTAGGACACTACCTTGCACGACCCCACTTGAGATCTGCCTAGGATGAGACAATACAGATCCAACTTTGGTTATTTGTACCCTGTTGCTTAGAAATGATTTTAACCAGTTCAGTAATGGGTTGCGAATTCCACAAGAGTACAGCTTCTCAAAGAGAATACTGTGAGATACCATGTCAAATGCCCTAGATATATCGAAGTAGAGAACAACGACTAGCTTACGTGCTTCGCGACTACTAGTGATGCAGTTGAAAAAGTCGAAGTGGCAAGTAACGCAGGATCTATTTTTGAGAAATCCGTGTTGAGACCTTGTAACAAGATCTTCCCTAATTAGGTAGTCTGACAATTGATCTTTACAACTTTCTCCATGATTCGTGAGATAACTGGGGTTATATTTATGGGTCTGTAATTGCGGACGTTTGCCTTATCACCAGATTTGTAATGTGGAATTATGAAGCTAGTTTTCCACTCACTAGGGTAAGTGCCAGTGTCCATAGATATTGAGAAGAATTTAAGAAGTAACAAGGGTATATCACACCCACTGTTTTTGAAAATTATCGAAGCTAGGCCATCCGGTCCCGTACTAGTGGAAGGTTTAAGGCTTTTAATTGCTTGTACTATTAACTGATTAGTGAACACAATGCTTTCAAGGGAAGAGATAGTAAGGGGAGCGGTTTCACCAGGCATATGTGTTTCTAAACTAAAGTTTGCAAACCAATCACTGAAGAGTTCACAGATATGATCAGTAGATATGGTGGTGGTCACTAAGGTGAATCGCCCATTCTGCAACAGCAATATACAAATTAAAGGCTCGAGATATTTCTGATTTTTATGAGGGCTTAGATCTTTATCTTGAAAAAGATAATAGTGAACGCCTTGACAGATAATGCTTCTACCTTTAAATATATACCATTCGCTCAGCCTATTGTTGAGATGCGACCACGTGGGATCTGCACAGATTTATGGGGCATCTTATGAATTAACTTGCTATCCATTGTCAGATCTTTAAATACCACTTCACAATATCTTGTCTCACTTATTTTCTAATAACGTCTTTACTTGATTCTCATTATATTCATTAAACCTAACATTTTATAGCTCTTTATGAATTTGATTCGACTTATTCTATTCCTATTCTCTTTAGGGTACGGTTGTGCACCAAATAGAAAAAAAGACATGAAATAAAGACAACTGGCTTGAAATAATTGTATTAAAGCCAAAAATGGACACATGATAGTATAAAATATATTGGTTTCATTATACATTGCAAATGAACGTTGTCGGCCTAAGGATTAATTACTTCCCCATTCTGTTTTCTATATAAACGTGTTTATTAATGATATATTTCACTCACTTAATCTATTACACTTTAATGTTACACCACAGCACTTTAATTTTTCTAAAACAGCTTCCAATTCCTTGTAAACGTTGTACTTACCTCAATATTGGTTGATTATCGTATGCCTACAACCACGGGATGAAACGAAACGAAGTCGATTTTCCCGCTCAACCTGGAGGACAATTGTACAATTCAATAACTATACAGCCTAGTTCAGACAATGTGTATTTATATATATATCAAATATTTAACTGTTGAAACATTATTAACTTGTCGACAATTTAAGATTTGACATTATATCATCCTTGATCGTGCCTGTAAAAATGGCATGCATTTTCATGTAAATTTATGTTTATATGAAAATAAATTATTATTATTATTATTATATAGTGGCAGGTTCATTGTAGATTACTTTGTCGTGAAGTAAGTATGGGATTTCCCTCGCCGACTGCATTCGTTTTTTAAGAAGTGCCGTTAAGTTATAAACTTTGGAGGTACTTTCAAGTGCCGTTAACTCTTCGTCGAGGTCCTTTTGAGAGCGTAGGCGCTTGAGAGATTCAAGAGACTCGTGGATTGAGAGCAATAGTGATATGTCCTTAGTGGAATAGTACTGTTTCTTCAGCTTCCTTAACTTATTACGGTGTGCCCTTGGAATATATTCAGTTCGGTGTCTACTTAATTTCACTATTTTCTTTGGAGCAACTGTATCTAGACAAAGGGTAACATTCCTGTAAAACAGGGTTACTAAGGCCTCCAGGGAGTCAGTGGTAAAATAGTCATCCCATTGACAGAGTCGAATAAGTTCTTGGACTAATCCCCAGTCTGTATATTTGTAACTACGACATATTGTGCTTCCTGAGTCTTGTTTGTTTCCTGTATTTAGTGGTGAGAAAGGCAGAGAGCAGAGTACCATTCTATGGTCACTACTGGAAAATCGATTACCAACATACGTGGATACTGGGATTGTGTCATGACAAAAAACAAGGTCCAACATGTTGTCACCACGAGTAGGTGTCTGGACGTGTTGTTGCCATCCATAACAGTCTATAGTGGCAAGTAATTCGTCGAAGCGTTGGGGGCCGGAACTAGTTAGCCAATTGACTTCTGGAAGATTGAAGTCCCCTGCAATTATTTTGTAATTAGCACTAAACGAGGATGCGTGTGCAAACGATTTAGCTAATAACGCATCAGTTTCTTTTGTTGAGCTTGGTGCTCGATAAACACAGCCTATGAGAAGTTTGTACTTATCTCCATGTAAGACAACCCAGAGTGAGTCAGGTACATTATTCATTGTTTCATCTTCCACCTTACTGACTACAAATGAGCTATGTATATATATGAGACATCCTCCACCACGCTTGCAATCTCTGTTTGCACGGTGTACAGTGTAATCATCGATACCTATATGCACATCAAGTACAGAGGATGAGCACCATGACTCAGTAATCAGAGCTACAGTAGGCTTGGCGACTAATAATAATGTCCTTAGTTCAGATATCTTATTGATTAAGGAACGTGCATTAATTAGCAATATCGTGAATAAGTCACGGGATACTACAAACTGGCTTAAAATGTCACCATAACCTAAATCTATTTGTGCGTCAGCACCGCAAGAATTTATGAATGAAAAGGAGGTCGGACTGGGTGTCTGCACATCGGAGTTGGTGTGCAATGAGGTGGTCCTAGGTGCCATGGGTCGTACCAGTGATTCGGGACACCTGGAAAATTTACCATGTGTTCCTGGATATAAGGGTAGTACAGGTTGGGCCTAGGTTGACGGTTAAAAGGCATAGCATCAAAGGTCTACCCATCCAACTGCTATTCGTCATACCGGTACACACCTTCGGGTTGTTTTTATAACTTAAAGGGAATTGTGAAGGAAGGTGCTTTGGCTGCAAGACTTTAGGAGTCTTGGAGCCTGACTTTCTATAAGGTGGAGCATGCGGAACACCTCCAGATATACTTATGTTTCGAGAGGAGTTTTTCGTAACAAGTGATGGTTTGTTGGCATTCTTACTCTCAGCAGGCTTATTGAATACAAAGTATTCTTCCCCATCATTAGTCTCAACCCTGCGAAATTTGTTCATCGTGGTGAGGTTACTACGTTTGGGGGGAAATTTCTTAGAACAACTTGCAGAAGTTCTAGTCATTTTAACATCTTTCGATGAGGCTTTGTTTACAGGGGTACTGGTATCTAAATCAGTTCCTAGTTCCATTGGCAGGTGTGGTTGTTGTGTAGTTTGCTGAATGCTAGTTTCAGCACTAGGTGTCTGTTGCTGTGCACGATCCTTATTTGGTAAATCTGAGCTAGAGGAGGTGACCAGGTTATTACTACGCATTATTCTGCGCTGACACGGTGTTTTATCCTGAGCTACGGTTATAGACTTATAACTGCTATTCAGTCTTAAGTGATCCTGACATTTAGTAAACTTACTAGCATCAAGGGAATTACTGAATTTAAAAATGATTGGGCAATTAGCCTGGTTAGACTTTTTACGAAGTCGTTTGCATTCACATGGAACACTAGCCATGCCGCAACAAATCAGGATTTTGTGTCTTACAGTTTTCAGGGGCAGAGAATCTGGGACGTTGTAAACTATAGCTTGGTGAGAAGAGGTTATACGCTTCATCACCTCCGTAGCCAAGCAGTCAATCAGATTTTCAGCTTTATTTAGGTTGTCTGGAGATATTTTAGGATGCCTTTCTAAAAGACAGGCTATTGGGTCTAAATTCAAAAGCTTATTTTGAGTTACATCCAGTAAACACTTAACCTGGCCAATATCAAAACGGCTCTCCGTGGTATTTGAGATTGGCAGTGACATACTATCAAACTGATCTAATTTTTCCTGAATTTCACTTACTTGCCTCTGCATATCTTTCAAAAGGAGGTTTAGTTTACAGAACTCAGAGTTCTCTAACAGAACATCTTTCACCTGTATCACAGGAGTGAGATCTGCACTCAAACCATTTTGAGAGCTAGTAGTTGATACTGTATTACCGGCGGTAATGCAGTTATAACCGAATTTAAGCCACTATCTAAAACAATTGTGTTTCTACGAACACGTTTTTTAGAGATTTGGACCATAATTTCAAGAATTATATGACAATAAGCAGTAAATAAATTTCAGAGCAAATACGTGCAAAAATGTCACCAATTTCGAACGTACCGCCAACTGATCACGTAAACAAAATTTTTTCAGACGCCGCATTTACTCCTAACTTAGCACGTGTCACTAATGTTACTGTAACACAATCGCATTACGACAGAAGGAACACAGATTTATTGAAAAATTGTTTATTAAACTAAAATTAGATTTCGAATGTACAGATAATTCAGATGAGTAGTCCTCTGTTCCCGTTAGTAAGTTCCATCTGCGTACACGACACATATGTTTTTCCATAAGTCTGAAAAGGTTTAAGAAGAGCATAATTAACTTGGGTATTACATGTATGATCTGAATAAAAAATTTTCTTGTTAGGCATTTACAAGTAATCGCTTTACAAACAATGTATATAAGTAGCCAAATAGTTTTCACTAAACTTAAGGGACTTGGCAATTTGTCGTTGGTTGATATGTAGTAGGTCCATCGAAGCATACGCGTATACTTATGTATATGTCAAGCAAATATATGCTGCATCAACCATGCCGTTTTTATCATGATTAACCAGACCACTGTGTACATTATACTTATTTAAGGATCTCTGAAAATAATGGTCAAGTGATAATTGAAGTTGCTTGAAGTTATTACATCTTCAGAACATTGTTTGCATTCTTGACACTCCTAAGAAGTTCTTACATCTTGATATGGCATGAATTCGTTGAATTCAGCAAATAAATCCACTGGTATATCATTTCTCTCCTGAGCTGTACTAGTTTGTGTTGTCAGTTATCTATCCAACTTCATAAAACACTCCTGAAAATTCAGAACTTAACCAAGCACCTAAGTGATGTTTGAAATTACCTCAACTCGAATGACAAACTGACCAATCACAAGCGAGTAAACCGCTTGTTTATCTCATTTGCGGTCACTCAAAATGGCGGCAGTCGACAGGCTGCCATGTTTCGACAGGTTCAAGACCCCGATAGGAAGAAGTCTCGGTATGTTTCCGTACATTACAACAATCATTTTACTAACACATAAGCCTAAACAATAAATCAGTCAAAGTTAAACTTTCGACACCACTAACAACCAATCAGCAAACGACCTACAACGGACCAATCACATTTAAGAGGCATCTATGCTAAATGGAAACGTATACTTATAGAAAAAGCATAAAAAACGACGTACAGATTACAAAGGGTATCTTTTTCAAACATGTTAGAGAAACATCTCCCAGTTTAGCATGAGACTGTCAATGAAGAAGGCACACCACATCCTGTACATATATTCATCGA